TTTTAAAAAATAGCTTTATGGTATTATGCATATAAAAGAGTGTATAGATAATGCTTACGCTTGCACGGAGAAGAGAGACGGAGTTAGAGTGGTCATGGCCTTTAGAGATATGAGCCATCTCTTGCATTGGACCACCGTTGGATAAAATATCCCATTCAGATCTCAGCCGCTCATTCCCAAGGAAATCAAACAACCTTCGTGGAGAAACCGGCATCCACACGGAGGTCGAAGCGTTTAAAACGATCCCGGGAGGTTCGCCGGGATCGTTTATGCTCTTCCTAGTCATGATCCTAACGTCTTCGTCCACGTTACCGACGTTAAGTTTGCTCCATTTCTGTAACGACGACGCACAAACTCCGCCGCAGAAATTATCAGTCATTCTCTTAGCTAGCTTGAGCATGCTCTTCCTCCCATTGCAGCTTATGGCTAAGCACGTTATAAACAAAAGATTAAAACGTTTTGAAAATTTTATTATTAGAAGTGAAATGTAGCGTTTTAAGGGAGATTACGGGTTGGGCTACGCGAAGGGGAAACAGTGGAGGACATGAGAATGGTGAGGCATTCGCATTGACGTTGTAACGCAGCCATCCATCGCTGCGCGCCAAACGCTAAACCGCAGCTGAGTAAAGGGCGGTATAAGCGGTGGATGCGGTTTTCGTCGTACTCTGTGTGCTCGATCCACGTTACCTGCAATTTACGTAAACCATTTTGCGTTAGTCATTAGGTTGAATGTGAGCTTTAACAAACAAAAATAATGAAAATAATAAGAAAAAGGAAAAAACTTTATGATAGTGTATTATTAAACTAAACATGAAAATGTAAAAAGAAATATATATATAAAATTTTGAAAGCGTTGCGTTTGATGCACGATCCAAGGGCACAGAACTCGTAGATATTTAGATGCTTCTGATTAATAAAATAATGAAATTTTTAACCTGCATAATATATGAGTTAATGTCATGTTACAAACCCAATGCATCAGAGCCTTGCCTGGTTCCTAGAGAATTGTGAGCAAACACTAGTGGAGTGTGAAAATCCTTAAGGTAAAAGACTTTACCAAGAAACTAGTATCATTCTTGTGTGTGTTTTACCTTAGAGTAGCCATTGGCCATATCTTGCACGAGACAACCGGACGGTAACCTTCTACAGCTAGAAGAAATTCCTTCTCTTATCGAATCAATCGAGACATCAACAACCGCCCAAACACCTTCCGCGTGCTGTTTACAGAAGCGCAAGAACGAAACTTGTCGAACCGGTACAAGTGGAGACAACAATTGAAGCTCTGCATGCATCTAAATCAACCAAAAAAAAAAGACTAATAAAAACCCATTTGATCATTAATGCTTTATTCCTTGAAACATCACTTGAGTATGTGTAAGTAAGTACCAAATGAAGTGCACCATTTCTTGTCCCTCCCATGCCACTAGAGATAATCTCAGTAGTTGAAGTTCTTGATATCATAAATGGAAACATTTCCGCCCATCGTTCCTATGAAAAACACGAAATCATTTTATCAAAAAGATCATCTTTTTTGGATTATCAAAAAGTAATCAACCATTTAGTTACTAACCGAGTCCATCAAGGTTTCAACAAGAGCTAAGCTATTGATAATAACAGTTCCAGAATCTTTAGAAGCTTCAGAGACAAACCCATCTTGTTTAGGTCCAACACAACGACTGAAACTTGTGTCATACTCTTCCTTATTAAGCATATCAAACCCATTATCCAAACTTCGAACCCAGAGCGGTTCACGTGTCTGAGCCATCTTCACAAGCTCATCCATAGCTGCAAGAGCTAAATCCAAATACCTAGATCTCTGATCAAAATCACTAACACTAACCGGTGGTGCCAAACAAGAACCGGTACGATTAGAAATCTCAAATCTAGGTGAGGGACTGAATCCACCACCGTTAGAGCCAACACCGAGTACGAGTGCTGAATCCGGTATAGGATGTGAACCGGAAGACCGGCCAAGGAATTTACCGGTTAAGGCACAAACTCGGTCTAGTTCATCTTTGAGACGTGAGTTTTCGATTCGAAGATGTTGTTCCTCCATGGAGATCTCACCGGGTACGGCTGGTCCGCCGCAGTTACCGCACATAGGGTTTCTCATAGCTTCTCTTACTGACATATTCTCAGCTCTAAGCTTTTCGTTCTCTTGTCTCAACAAAGCATTCTCATGTCTCTCGATTTGCGTCTACAAAAACCAACAAAAATCTCAAATCAAAAAAAAAAAGGAAGAAGAAGACGAAGGTATATACCTTCATCTGAGTACGGCGATTTTGGAACCAGAATTTGACTTGTCGTGGATCTAAGTTTAATCTCCGGCTAAGATCAAGACGCTGCTTCTCATCTGGATGTGCACACTCTTTAAAAACCCTAAACATTGAAAAAAATCGATTTAATCAAAAACAATCAAATCATCGAAGAAGTTTACGAAATTTGATTTGGGGGATTTAAGAGTTATTTACGATTCGAGGTCTTGTATTTGTTTAGGAGTGTGACGATGGTAACGTTTCTTCTTCTTCTTCGGAGGTTTATCATCGGTTTCTAAATCGTCACCGGAGACACCTTCACTTTCAGATCTGCTTTCTACTTCTTCTCCTCTACTCTTACGAGTTACATTCGTCGACTCGAAAATCTCTCCGTTTCTTACGATTTCTCCGTTGTTTTCAACATTTGTTTGCTGCTCAGTGATAAAAAAAAAACAAAACCCAGAAATTATTATAAGTAAAGAGCTAC